CAGATCAGAAATACCTTTGACTTTTCGAATTCCTGTCGTACCTAACCATAGCATTGGATTGGGCTCACCATTATCAACACAAGCATAATTTCCAACAATAGTAATGATTGGGTTCCCTTTCATGTCCTTTAGAGTGACTGCTACATTCGTATACCATCCTAGTGCTTCAGAGATATGTTCAGAATTACCTTTTACAGCGAATTTGGAAGGCTTATCAACTTTCCATCCAAGCGCTTCAACAGTAGCTAAATTAAATCCATCAAATTCACTTCCGTTATCTAAAAAAGATTCAGAGATTGGTAAGTCATTTATACTAGCATTTAAGTATTGTAGGGACGAAAACCACTCATCTTTCTTTGACTTCTCCTCCTGAGCCTTTCGAGATAGACACATTTTGCGCATTGCCGGTGAAAGTTTTGGCAATAGCTCGTCATACGTTTCAGGCTGGCTGGATTCTAAAGACAACTTTTCATTTACTAGCGCCTGTTTTTTTTTTCCGGTGCATACCACACATTATCTACTTTATCATAACCACCACTATTATCTTCATCATTATCAGAATCTGGAGGCGTGTTTTGGAAATTTATAGGTGTGAGAGGCTTAAAATAAGTCCGATTAAAATTAGATTGTGCTGTCTGTCTATTGGGACAACTGCCTTTACTATGACCAGTTTCTTCACAAATATCGCATTTATGTATATTTAGTTTCTGGAATTGATTTGTTAGTTGATTTACAGCATCACAAGTTTCATTTATCACCTCTTCTACTCTATCAATTCTAGCAGAGACATTGCTTCTCTGTGGTCAAGATCTTTGAAAAGGCTTTATAAGGTAATCAGAATCCAAATCTTTCTTGTTAAGTATACCTACTTCTTTTAAGTATTCGGCTACATAATAATTCTTGAAACCTTCCTCTATTTTCAATAAAGATGGTGGACCTTTCGGCTGTCTAACAGGTTCAACTGTTTGTGAAGCAGGTACTTGCGTTTGTTGAGCCATTTGTGATTGTAATTCTGTAACTTTTTTTACTAATGCCTGGTTTTCAGTTTTTTGTTATGCCAGTGCGTTTTGGATTGCTTTTTGTATATCTTCTAAAGATATTCTATGCTGTTGCGAGGCTGAAACTGGTAAAGGTTCGTATATTTGCTGAGATGCTCGATTAGATACTAACGGATCAGATAATTTATCTCTTTTATGTCTAGCTATTTGGCATAATTCTATCTCATAAAGCTTTTTAGCTAATTCAGCCAATGGCAAATGTTCATCAATATCCTCAGCTTTTTCAAGCTATGGGAGTGGAAGGACATCTAAGAATTTTCTACGTAAATCTTTAGGTCTATAGTTAGCTCGTCTACCTATTCGTAATATTTTTCTATATAATTCATCTATAGTTATATCTCCCTTCATAATTGTTCTATACATTATATCCTGAAGCTCCTCTTCCACTATAGGAAAATGAGTTTTTAACTACTATACAGCTTGACCAAAACGAATGCCTGCTACAACTACTGTAGTTCCATTACCAGCATTTGGTACATTTACTAGAAGGTTGGTAGGATGACCTCCTGCTATGCACCAGTCCTTATTCCAAAGACCTTCTACAGCTCTTAATTTTACTATTGCATTTCCAGCTTGTCCGAATGCCTCATTTAATCTATCAGCACATATCTGTCCAGCATTATGCTCATTTATAGCTACTAAATTAGCTTGACCTGTGCCATCAGTTAAATTTACTAATTCACAATTTTGCTTTGTAATAATCTCATCATCGAACCATTCTAAAGTTCTTCCTCTTATACAGCCTCTTAAATATCCTATTGCCTGATCTCTTCCTGTTGGTGGACCTCCTGCATTATCAGCTGGATCTACACCTTGGTTTTGCAAGTATAATCTAAGTTTCGCAAGAAAATCAGGGATATCATCATCCCAGTCAAAAAATGGTTGCGGTATTCCTGCCATGTTTATTTGATTTGGTGGATTATTCTGAAGCGCCAAAATTTGTCCCTGCAAATTTAAAATATTCTAGTATTCTGCTTGAGTCTTATTTTTTCATTTCTCATATCGCTCATAGAGCCTATCTCGATTATATTCTAATAAACCTATATCCCCTCTACTTCGCTGTAGGTGGTAAGCATTTCGCTGATATAATAATTGTAAGGCAAATTTTTCTTGTACCAGCACACCTATACGAGTTTGCTTTCTTGCTATTCTATTTAGCATTCTATTAACCTGGTTTCTGCCATTAGTTCGCAACTGATGAAGGTCAGCAATAGCCATTTGTTCTACTCCTTCAGCATTTTGCCTTTGGATAATTTCATTATCACGCTCAGCCTCTGTATCATAGCGTCTTCTTTGCTCACAGACTAAATCCTGATGTAAATTATTCTCTTTTCGGCGTATTTGCCTTGTCGTTCTTTTTATTTGATCTGACAGGATATCTATATGTATTGCCCTATTATCCAGAAAACCATCTATAGCATTTGCTAGCTCTATGATTGTGGCCATATTATCAATAAAATTATACAAGTCTGGAGAATTCCCTCGTTCAGGTGAATTTTTTCATGATGAGATGCTTCTGATCTGGCATCGCAATTTCTCTATCTGTTCCTCAGAATCTACTAACTGACTTTCTATACTAGAAATATGATTTTCATTATCACAAATATCCTTCTTAGCTTGATATAGTTGCTTTTTTAGGCTGGAGATTTCAGATTTTAGCTCTGCTATCTCCTCTTTTGAAGCATTCTCAAGACACTCTATCTCACCGTTAAGAGTTTGGATTTCTTGTTCACAATGAACACATTTACGTTCTAGCTTTCTGATCTGCTTTTCATTTTGGCGGTTAGTATCAACTTCTATTTGCAATTCACTACGAAGATAATAGTTCTCCTCCTCCAACTCAGCTTTATGTTCTTCACATGTTCTTCTCTACCTTGGATAAGGCCTGCGAAATGACATTCTTTTTTCATGATTATAAAAGATAATGAGAGAACTTTTGATTTATATAGATCCTCAAAAAGCACGTAATCTTGACCGGGATCTCACTTTGCAGAAGAGCAAGGAAAAAAGTGTCTCAGCTAATAAATAGAATCTGACTTCATGGATGCTAGCTTTTTTCTGCCTCTTGTAACTGCATCTTCAGATCCTCATTTTCATATAGCAATTTCTTATTCGCACTAATCCGCTCTCTATATTCCCTTTTTATGTCTTGCATGAATTTTTCGAAAGTTCTTTTATTATAATCAAGCAGGTACTGGCGAAATACTTTAAGTTCATTCATAACCCAGCGGTTATTTTCTTCCTCATGATCATGCTTTAGCGCTTCTGGCCAAGTAGTATTAATAGTTTGAGTCCCATTATCTGTAACGTATATAGCCAGTGATGCTGGAAATACATTACATTCTAGCCAGCTTTGAGAGCGCAATAATTTTGTCTGAGCCATATTTTTGCGTTTCCTATTTAATGAATTTTCATAAACTTCTAATTTATGCCTTAGATATGACTCAATTTGACCAGACTTCCCAGAAATCATTTCTAATGAAACAGGGTTTTTAGAGTGATTTAAAAGACCTTGATATGCTCTTTTGACCAGGCTATCTGGAAGTCTATCAGTAATATGTTTAAAGTTGGAGTAGAACATTTTATTAGATATACTTTTGTACAAAAAAGTTTGCATGCAAAAATAGACTTATAGCATCACATATCAGATAGGAGGGTTAGCTAAATCATGTATTTTTGGCTGAGGCATCCTGGCTGAAATTTGCCAAGAAATTTTTTATTAGTTCACGAACATATATTTGTGAAATAGACCGCCAGGGTCAGTTTTATTATAATACAAATAATAATAGTACATGGCACTAAAGCTAAAAAATAAGCTCATCTATAATTTCATAATATCTGCCAGCGATATCCCGAAACCTAACACTCATTCTCACATTTTTAAACTCCCTATAATGCTAAAAATGGACGACATTTAATCACTTTTCTTGAAGTTTCTCACATGGCCAATACAGATTTGTTATAATATAATCTTCACGGGAGAAGTATACGATCCAGATCTCTCGAGGATGAAGTTGCTCTTCATACTTAAACACTTGTTCGAAATGGCCATTTAGTTTGAGAATTGATGCCGTTGCCAATAGTTTGAGAAGAGCTTCCAGATGGGGACTATTGGGCTTCTTTATAGTTAGGTCGCAATAAAGGTGATGGTAGTCCCCATCATCACAAATTTGTTCGAGATGCCACTGGCCAGTGATCTCATATCCATGGATCTTTCTTAACCAATTTATTAGAACCCAGTACATTTCAGCATCGTATGTACTTTCCCTTGAAACTTTGATATAATACTCGGAGTTTACATACAAGTGATTTGAACTTTTGTATGAACGGGAGGAACCTAGAGCTATTATACCTTGATCAAAATCACGTACTGCGGTCTTTAAAATTTCTAAAATATCTATAGATCCATCACCCCGCAATGGGATATCTGCAGAAACATCCAAAACTTTGCTAATACTTCATTTTTTAACAACAGGAACGGAAGAAATTAACAAATCTGATTTTGGAGGGACTGGCTTCTTTACTACCTCTTCTTGTAAGTTAGAAGTATCAGCTAAAGGTTTGCAACCTTTTTTCCCATTGACCTATATAAAAAATGGATAAATCGGACCCCTCAGTAATAAGTATCATCATTGGGGATAATGAAATAAAAAATAATATTTTTAGAATGGTGATAGCAGAAGTAACGACTATGACCCCAAAAGGACCTGCTCAAACATGGAATATTACTCAGTATACTTTTATCAAAAGGAAGGTACATAACCGAATCCTCCTCCAGAAACGGTAGACCTTTGTCAAAAAGTATCGCTAAATAATCTCACGACATCTAACAGAATAAATATGCTAAAGCACTGCAATAACCGAAGGCTTATATATCCCCAAGTGAAAGCTTCTTATGCTTAACATACCATATCTAAAAAATGCGTGTTTGGGCCTGTGAAATGGAAAACACATACCTTTTTCTTAAGTAAGAGATCTCTAACAACTTCAAGGATCTCCTGCGAGGCTATCGGATCATCACGGAAAATATATAATGTATTATAAAATACCGTATGTATCTCATTTCTTTCGGTAGGTCCAAATATATTAGTTGACCAGGATATGAAATGCTGAAGAGATCATATACCACATGGAAAGAGCCAAAAGTATTCAATTTTGTCTTTTTCAAAAGCTCTTGTTCCCTCTTTTAATATCTTAGCTTATTTTTCAAGCTTCATAGCAGGTCCTCGCTTTATGCTATCCTTCATAAACTTTCTTTCGGTCATGTCTGGAAAGGTTTAGCCATCTATTTTCTGCTTACGAAGGATCTTGAAATCATCATCGTCAAGATTTATGTCCAGGTCACGTAAGAAAATAATGAGAGTCTCAGTATCCCAGTTTTCAACCAAAGAGAAGCGGTTTGAAGAAGTTGTAGAAGTAGACATGATTTATTAGCTATTAGAAGTAAAAAACGGAAAAAATAAGAAATACGTATATCAAACTTACCCTCTATGATTTACAGCCTTTATAAATAAAAAGAGACGTGTTAGAGTTTGTTTTTTAGCAAGAGATGCGTATACTTATCTTTTGTAACAATGCAGATATCATATTGCTATTTTAGTATAATTAGCATTACATTACTCAGGAGTTAATCTAGAATAGGAAGATCATAATCTTTATTCTGCATAAACCTGCAGGTGGTATATGATCAAAAATTTATGTTGCACATGCCTACATGCATTGGCCATGAGGCATGGACAATATATTATTTTATTAAGACAATATTCAGGATCTGGATCAAGGACTGATCTTGAAAATTCAGCAGGTGGTACATTTTATACATAGCGCTTCAACCAATTTTACTAGGCGATCATACATGCAGATTATATAGCTATCATTTCACAAAAAAATAAAGTATAAGGCCCCCTTGATCTATCGATCTGCAGGGTGAAAAAAAGATTCGAAGATATCCACCTCGAAGTTCTTGAACGAAAGGGTCGACTAAGTCTATTTTCTTCCTGCATTTTTTCGCACAGAATTAAAATATGCTTCAGCAAAATCACCCAAAGTAGTCCTGCTAGAAATATTAGGCATATTTGATTGATTGTTCCAAAGATTTCTAATCTCAGATGCACTTGCACTACGTTGCCTGGTAGGTGAAATACAAGCTGGCTCAAAATTTGGAGCACTTGGCATAGTATTTTTTTGCTATGGTTGCAGTCTCAGCCTTGAAGCAAGTGTTATCCCAATGATCCTTCATTAAATCTTCGGACTTAATCTCATAGCCTCACCTGCGCCATCCATCAAAATATTCTTTTCTTAGTTTTACTTCAGTGATCTTCAGCATTTAAAACAGATAGCCATCTGACTTTTATGAACACTAGGTCTGTGATAACTGATGGGAAGTTCTCTTCCCGCCCAGTGGTTATAGCATGTTTTGGTTACTCCTTGTCCAAATGATCTGAAAAGGCAGAATACATGATAAAAGCTTCTATATCCTTCAGCAATCAATGTTTGCATAGTGGCTTTTACATGAATGGCCTATTGCTGTGGAGTTTCAAATGATCTAATAATAGATAAATTATCATATATTTTTTCCATCTCAACCATTTTTTCGATTTGTTCGATAGAATAAATATGGTAATATGCTTTACTATATTCTATATCATATCCAGGATGAAGACTGGTGGGTTTAGGCACTGATTTATTATAAATCTTATCTAGAATAATTGTAACAGTTTGACCAGACATATTTCTTGTTCACTTAATTGAACGAATTATAACGATTTATAGCAATTTATTGATTTATAGCGTTTTTAGCAACTTTTTAGTATTTTATACTAATGGATAACATGTTTCAAATTTATACGGATTTGCTGGTTAAGCAGTTTTAATGATTTATAGCGGTTTTATTGATTTGTAGCCGATTTAGTGAGACTACATACTAGTAAATACAAATTCATTTTTATTTGATTGGGATTTATACAGGGTCATCTCTCAGGCTAAGCATGCATATGCACAGCACCTGGCTAAATCGGTTTGTAGCATGACGTATATCATATCACATGTATCCACCCTAGATCCCTGCCAGTTCCTCAATAGCTCCAGGAGAGTTCCAAGAGCTGGCGAGTTTCTATAAATCATGAGATGATTGGCCAATCAGATTTCACCACCCTTGATCTATTGCTAAGCCACTGGTATTATTTGATTAATCATTATATTGATCCTAACACATCACTCGATATTGTTTTATAAAACAGACCCTTAAAGAATCTTCTCACCATGTAAAAAAAAATCAACTATAGAGTTCTCTGACATCCAACTTCGTGTTCTCATTGACGAATGAAAAAATAGAAATGCAGAGTATCATTCTACTACAAATAAGAAGAAGTATCTCTTTTGGAACGAGATTGCTGAAAAATTAAATGTTCAGAAAAGGACTAATTATTTCACTGGTGACGAATGCCATAAAAAATTTTTAAGCATCACAAAAGTTTTTTATGTAAGTAGGGTTGGTTGATAGGATATTTCCCTTGAAGACCTGTCGGATTAATATACTTATTATTATTTTTTTTTAGACTACCAAGAGAAAAAAAGAAGGGACTGGGGATAAAAGGAGCATAATTGGAGAAGAGCTTTATGAAGAGTTCTCGACGAAGTTCTGGCAAAAACCAGGTATGTATTTTTTTCTGGTAAACTATTCTAGAGAGAAACTTTTCATTATTAATAATATATCTATTTTATTTGATAGAACCACAATTCAGAAAAGCACGTAGTGAAAGCGTTAAGGGATCAAGCAGGGCGAGTTCATCATCTCGCTTATTAATCTCTAGACCTGAGCAAACATCGGATATTGCGAATTTATTCGAGACCTCCCCTCCAGCGTCAAGACTGGTAACACCATCTGTAGAAGCATCTGCCGTTTCTAGGCCTACCACTCCTACACTCCCCTCCTTTTCACAAAGTGCGAACGTCATTAATGTCACTATTAATTATGGTGGTGATGGTTCCAAAGGAACCGGTTCAGACTAGCAGAACTAGGCTAAATATATTATTTTTCTGGGGAGCAAACCAGAAGTTCTTAAATAAGTGGGCTGGGGTTATATAAATTTTTTTCTTTACCATTACAAAGCGTATTTTTTCATAACTGTAAGGCAATAAATTGTAAAGCGAATAAAATATTTTATCATAGTATCACTTGAAAAATAAATGTAAGCATGAGATTAGCGTCAGGTTAAATTTATCTCTGAATATCCGATGGTAGAGTCTAGATACGGTGTCCGGCTTGTCTAAATTGCGCAGAAGAAATGGCGCAGTATATTCAGGATGATCTAACCATTTTGACAAATTATTTTCTGTGATATTTGGCTAAAGTACTTTATATTATATTTAGCAGTGATCTCCTAGTTCCCTGCCAGTTCCTCGATGGTTTTAGGAGAGTTCCAGGAGCTGGTGAGTTTCTATAAATCACGAGATTATCAGCCAATCAGATTTCAGATTTTTTCTTTAGCCGGATAGTCTTTGATTTGGGAAAATTATTACAACTATTTTTTCTGATGGTAGAGTCTGGACACCGTGTCCTGGCTTGACTTAATTGCGCAGAAGCGAGATCAACATCCGGTTAAATTTGTCTCCCGAAACCCCCTCCCTTGATCTGTAGTAGATAACCTATCCAGTTAGCTTGCCCTGATATTTTGGTTAAATTTATCCCAAAACAACTGAAAGCGCTGTGCATATGAATATCTGATGGTAGAGTCTGGACACAGTGTCCAGACTCGACTTAATTGCGTAGAAAAAAAGAATTAATCACATGGTGCAGTAGTCAGCAAATTAGCTATGTTTTTTTATTCGAAATACTATTTTCTATGACGTTCAGCAAAAAAGACTTGACAGTAAATATTAATGTATTTTAAAATAAAAGTGTTACACTAACTGCAAATGCTTTATTAATATATGTTTGAAAATACATATGTAAGAAATACTATTTTTCTAATGGTAGAGTTTGGACATCGTGTCTGGGCTCAGCAAAAATGCGCAGGACATTAACGAAGTTTCTGTTTTAAGACTTCAGCTATTACATAATCCTTTTCATCCTTAGTTAGATTTAAGATGAAACCTGGAGGGGTGGTTTTAATCTGTGCTATTTTTTCTTTGCCTATACTATTAAAAAGCTTATTAACCTTTTCAGATCTCTCCATCTTTTTCCGCAAAGCTTCGTCAGAACATTTTGTCTCAGGAATCGCTTCTCTAACCTCACTTTTGACTAATGCTAGGGATCCATCCTTACCATGTTCGAGTTTTAATTCTTTGTATCGTTTAAATACAGCTTCTTTAAAATCAAAATAGCTGAAAATAAGACCTTGAGATGCACCTTCATTTTTAGTTTCGGCATTATCAATCTTATCAGAGAGTTGCAAAAAAATGCTGGTTGCGCTTTCATTTGCTTCTTTCAAGTTCTCTCCAATAGCGGGAACAGGTGTATCAGCTAATAATTCTTCGATAAGCTTTTTCAACATAGATGATACCTTCTTCCCACCAGTTTATTTCGCCTTCTTGTTAGACGATTTTTCGGTAGATGCGGACGATTCTCTAGTACGTTTTTTCTGCGCAGTACTTGAACTCTGCTCTGTTGGAGTTTTCAAATCATCAATCTCCATATCAGATGATGGGCATATAGGACACAGCTTTCGTGGATTATTGATACAGTTGTAATGGACGATATGTTTGCAGGTTAAGTATACGAGAGGTTTTGGTGGAGGATGAGGAAAGGTTCGAAGAAAGCCTAGAGGAAGAAGACATGAAGAAAGGTCCTCAGAACATTTAACACATCTTAATTGACTTCCCATCTGTTGAATTCCTATATTCTCAACCCCTTCCATACGCATGGGTGGAGAAGTTAGGATAAACCTTTCGCTCATCACGTTAGTTAAGGCCGAAGTTCCGCTTGATTGGGATAATGGTGAATCTTGAATAATAACATTCAATTCCGGCAATCGGCCAATCGGATAATTCACAGTAGTAGAAAATATTTCCGTGATTTCTACATTCTTACCACAATCGGGGAATGGACATGGGTTTGATACATTAAGCATAAGTTTTTTTTCAGCACAGAGTCTATAAAAAATGTGCTCACAGCGTAGTCAGGTGAACTCTCTGAGAGGAAATGTCAAAATGTCGTTATTACATTTAGAGCATGGTTCTAATTCTGGAAAATCTATATCTCTGACAGCTTTATCATCGAGACTTTTGAGAATATTATATCCGAGGTTTCTATATCTAACGAGAGAGGGATTATTAGATGAGGGAGTACTGTTTTTTTCTCTAGGCGTCTTGAGCGGTTCTGAAATTGGCTCATTATTTTGTTCAGAATCCGTCATACTAATTCCTTTTCTCTCTGGACAATAGGGTTCGAAAAAAAAGATACTGACCTGTTTTTATATCACTTGTAAATTTCGTAGGAGAAAACATTTCCCAGATTTTCTCCAGCAATTACGCACTGCATTTCGTCATTCATTAATCCCTTGCAAATCAATAAAAAATGACGGAGGATTAGCATACACATCCCCAAATCCCATATGCGAAATAAGGATTGCCGGAAAAAATATCCATACCAGAATATTGTTTTATTGATATGATAATAGCGTGGTCAGGGTATGATACGCAAAAATCAAATCAAAGTCAGAAAAAAAATAATGGATATATATGTACATCGCACAGCCCCTATTCATTCGGCAAGAATTTCTCCGATATCGTACTGCGCATTGATTTCTTCACATGAGCTGGCTGGCAAGTGGCTTATGTGTTCTAATTTTTCTACTACTTAGTGACACGACCATGCTCATTTTTGGTTTAACTAAACGTTTGCCTACCGGTGGTAGTTGTATTTCAAATGCACTTAGAACTGGTCGTATCGTTCGTTACATGATACAAGTTACTCACGAAAAGATCTTTTTCAATCGTAACGAGAACTGGATATGTTTAGCAGTGCATTTAATGCTGATCCAGAGCTTCATGTCATTCTAGGTCCTCCTAGTACTGGGAAAACTGCCTTAATTCGTGAGGTGGTAATGAATAAAGGCAATTTCAAACCTCTTTTTCTGGACTGTCGCTCGGGACAGTTTGATTCTTCAAAGAATTTATATAATTCTATTTCCATGCAATTCAAACCATTCTTCAAGGAACGAAAGGAACTCCTGAAAAAAATATTGCCAGAAACAGATCTCAAGGCCAAGTTTCCTTATTTTTTCGAGTTAAACTTTAAGCTATTTGATAAGAAAGAAAAGGAAATTACTTCTAGTAGTGTCAGTGAGTTGCTTATTGAAATTGCTCGTGCTCTTCCGAAATGGAACATTTGGCGTGGTGACTATGCACCTCCACCCATTTTAATTGTTGATGAAGCAAACTTGCTCAGCCAACTTGGAGACAGTTCGAAGAAAGGAGCGGTCCTTCTAAAATCATTTCTTAACTGGCTTGTGATGAATACAAAACAAGAAAACCGCTTCCATGCTGTGCTTACCTTTTCTGATTCATTTTTTTTGAACTGGATTATAAATCGTAAGTCCATTTTATAATCATATTTGGTAGCAATGTAAAGGTTTATAATTCTCTAATCCGCATTTATTGTCTAGTTTTGCATGTCCCACATGCAACCCCGTATGTTGTTGGAGATTTGACCAAGGAAGAAGCCGAAGAATATTTTGAAAAGCATGTTCTTCCTCAATATAGTATGTCTTTACTGAACCGTCTATTTATACTTACTGTAGCTCACATGACAGTATTCATTATTTAAAAAAGAATGCAAAGAACTCGAAGGCAAATTTGACCGCGTTTGCAGAATAACTGGCACACGTATGTTGATTATTGATAGATATGTTAATGAATACAAAATTTTAGGGGAAAAGCTTACAGGTACATACCGGATTTATTTCCTTTAAAAGATGATATTTCTATTGACCTAAAACTTGATGTTATGAATAATTATTTCATAGATAGAAGATTTTCGGTTTCCAGGTTAGAATATAACAAGTTATTTTCTGGTCTTGTTCCTTTTCGCTATCCAGATAAGACTCGTGATCCACTCTGGAATCAGAATGAATTAATCAAAGTTATGAAAGCTGTTGTTGATGCAGAGAATCGAGGATTTGTCCTAGAAGCAGATCTAGAAAAAAAAATTAGTCATGAAAAAATTCATTCACTTGTTGATTATAATCTTTTACACTGTCGACCGACCAATAATTTCGCTTTTGATATCATTGACCCACCAGATAAAGTAATGTTGACTGCGATGAATAAGCCATCATTACGTGCAATGGAGCACCTCTTAAATGACCTGGGTCAATAATTGTTATATATAGATTTTACTATGCAAAGAATTTCCAATGTAATCACTACTGATGATAAATTATCAAAATAAACTTGCAATTCGATTTGCGAAATAACTTTATTTGAATATTTTAAATATACAAAAAGGTAAAGCCTGGGTAAAATTTATATTAATTAAGATAATACAATGCTATCAGTACGCGGATTCTAGCCAGTATTAAGTTCTTTGCTCTCTCTACACCTAACTTGTTTTTATCTATATCACTGACTATACCCTCAAAATAAAATTTCCCACACATATCTATGTCTATCACACGTAGAAAGTTTTGATTTTAGCTAAGAGAACTTCCCAAGATTAAGTAATTTCAAACCTATAGTATAAATCGGAGATTACTAACTGAGTTAAAAAATCAATGTAATATTACTGCATCACAAAAATCAGATCGAGTACCTTATTAATACATGCAAGAGCGGGTTGTAAATGATTATGTTTCTATGCTACAATTGCAAACTTGAGTTTATTGCTTGAACTATTGCAGGTGAGATAATATTCCGTTCCATTTTTATACCATTCGCCATGTAATCCATAATTCCCATATTTTCCATCACAAATAGGGCATGGTGAGCTCTACGGTTGAGGTGATGCAAATTATAATTATCAATCCCTCTGAAACTATTTCGGAATTTCAGGTATGTGAAATGCTTTAAGACAAACTTGATAATTAATTCTGGTTCGGGTTTTGCTTCGTAAGTGATAGGCCCTTTTTCTTCACATTGCTCAGAAGAAGATAAATAGAATACTTTGTTTTCTGGCTTCGAATTTATGAGAAGGCGGGATTCTGATAATTACCATGGTTCATGACCAGTTTCTTTCTTATATCTTTTGTATAATTTGAAATGAATCTTATCTGTCAAAATACTCGGTAATCCAGTTAATTTGGCATGCTAATCCAGATATTCGGGGGTTAATGTTTTATAGGATATAATCTGAATATCAAAACTTTTGAATACTAGACAAACAAACTCCTTAATTTTTTGTATCCTTTTAGGAATAACAATTTTCGGTTTTTCATTGTACCATACCTCAAGAAGGGAAATTCCATTATCTTAACATATGCATTATTTTTTCCAATCACGATTAATGATGTCTTCGAGTTTTTTGATATCTTTATACCAGCTAGTGTTATGAAACCGATGCTGAGCTTCCTGCACCTCCAATCCAATTCGGCATTTTTGGAAGAAGGCATCAAGCTCTAATCTGTTCAAGAAAGGAAAGCGATATTCGATAATAGGTTTCTCATTAAGGATTTCCTTAGCTATCTGGATACATCTAGTCTGGAATTTGCGATTTTTCTTAGCCTCTCTTTCTGCCTGATCCTGCTCTAGTTTTAAAATTCTAGCCTCTATTTCTGCCCGATCCTGATCCTGCTCTATTTTTAAAATTCTAGCCTCTATTTCTGCCTGATCCTGGTCTAGTTTAGTGATCAATACTTCAAACCTAGCTTTCTCATCAGTTATCTTAGCCTTAAGTTCAGTGATCAATACTTCAAGATCAGATGACATGATAGATAATATTTTCATACACGAAAGAATCATTTAATGTTATGTGGCAAATGTTCAAAACTCTCTTTTGGATAAGCCACCCACATGATTCGAAAAAAAAGATACAATAATTTAGTCTATGTGAGTATGTGATTTCGCTTGATAATTCTCCTGCCTTTAGCGCTTTTAGCAAGCGGTTACCGGAGAGATAATAGGACTTATCATTGGGAGATTTTTCTTTCGTATCCTCCATCATGACAGAAATAACCTCTATTACGTTCACCATATTCATTATATCCACCATATCCATCATCATCCGAATCGTCAGACATTCATTCATTCGTTTCTTTCACCGACTGGGGTGTGGAATCAACTTCCTTATCAAAACCTCCCAAAAGCATTTTATAAAAATCGCCATCAGCTTCGAGTGGATTGCTTGGGCTGACTTCCTTGGAATTATTAGAAGAATTAGAGTCATAGGCTAATGGAATAGATGTAATTGATTCCTTCTCCAATACATTATTCTGATCGGATCCTTCTGGGATCTCATCATCTTGTTCTTCATCCTTGGCTTTATCAGTGAATTCCATATTGGGTTTTTCGGTGAAGTGATCTATAATTGTTTGAATCTGAGGATCAGTAAATTTCGAAATAGTATTTGCACTATATGTTTTTATGTATTGAAGCTTGTCCATTCCTATTTTTTCAAATAAATCGTCAATTCTCAAAGCTTTTTGTGTTTGCCTACATAAAGTTTTGCGTTTAGTATCAGAAAGTTGTTTGACAATAAAATCATATACCTGACCTTTCGCTTTCTTTTCCCCAACTTTGTTGCTAACCATAAAATCTTTATACATTCTCTTAAATTCTCTAGCATAGAAACACCAACGCAAAGTTTCTTCTCTATTGGCTTCGATTGCTTTCTTTTCTGCACTGCATACGGTTTCATATAGACTAATAATATCAGGGAGAACCTGCTCTTCATTTCTCTCTGCTAAAGTATTTGGGCGAACCAAGTTCGCTGAAATTTCAGTCACAGCCGAGAGGATTTGTTTTTCTTTCATGGATGAATTAATTTCTTGAATCAAACCCTGTTCGTTTTTTCGCTGAAGTTTTTTCTCTCTATTCCTTTGCCTAATCCTGTTACCGATCATTTTCTTATCCACCTCGTTCAAGAAAGCATCTGTCTCTTTTTCCTCCGATGATTTAGCCAAAGGCACTAAAGCATGATCACTCATATCCTCCTTCTCATATACATTCGATATCAGATTAATAGTATTCGAGGAAACAGAGCTTTGAGGCTCTATCTCATCTATAGTATTCTGATCATATCCTGAAATCATTTCTTTAGAAATAACCTCTGATTGACGGGAAGTTAACTGTTTGCTTTCTTCATTATTGTCTCTTGCCTGAGCGCCTTCGGCTAGTTTCACTACTTCAGCCTTAATCTCAGCAATTTCAACATCACGCCTAACATTCTCAGCTGAAGAATCTTCCTTGTTTTTCTCCAACTCCTCGATTCTGGCCTTGAGTTTGGCATTCTCAGCATCACGCCTCTCATTATATTCTTTATTCGCTCTTAGAAACTCGATATTCCTGCGCTTAAGTTCAGCTATTTTAGCATCAGACACTGAGAGCTTGTTTTTAAGATAGGGGATCTCAGTATTTTCCTTCCTAAGCTCTGTATTCTCAGCCTCAAGTTCAGTGATGCGCTGTTTCAATGATTCAAGCTCGGATGACATGATCTATATATAACTAATACACTGCATATGAAAATTCAAAATAAAAAATATATCACATGTTTTTGGGTGACGGGCTTCGCTGAAATTTTTTATTAATATATGCGAAAAATAAATACAATTGTTCGGGACGTAGCCCAGGATACATTATTTTTTGATAATTTTTTTGATTCTAGCCCTCTTGCTAGCTGGGGAGCTATTTACACTAACACGATCTTTTAACAACCTAACAATTATACCAATAACCCTTTTCACATTGCTTCGGAGTAATTCAGGATTATCCTTGATGGCAGATTTCGAAAGATTAATCTGGTACTCACTCCCACTTGTACAGTAAATACCATCTGGAGTATATATTATAAAATGCCACTCTGTCCCTGTTGTCATAATGCCATAAAGATAATCAAAGTAATCTTCATTAAACGCTTGATCCGCAGTTCGTTTTTTCTTATTTGTTTAGAACGCACTTTCAAGTTGTGCCAAATTCTAAGAGATAAAATACAATATCCTTTAGTCTTCTCATTTCAAAGCCAATAGACTGATAAGATGAACAGACTTACTTGGGCATATCCAATCTTAATATTACGTGGTTTCCTTTCAGTGATACAGAGAAGGTCTTCCAGACTTTTGATTGCGTAGTCTACTCAGCCAGTAGCATCTTCACCAGAAATATCCTTCTGCAACACTATAAATATATCTTGAGAGGTGAGTTTTTTGGTGATAGCAATTGATGCATGTAATATAGCTGAGATAAATTCACAGCACGTCGTCTCGTTAGCATCGGTCATGGTTTCCACGTTTGAAAGTTTTAAGATAATATCCTCCATACAGTGTTCGAACGCTTTATCATCATCACTAATCTCCTTGAAGACTATAGAGAAAAATAAAGTTAATATGGCTATCTAGTCAGTTTGAAAATTAATTAATTACCTACCAGGAGTAAACTGCTTGATGTTTGTTATATCTTCCCTATTGACCTTATTTCTACGTAACATTTCTTTCAAGTCGTCAAGAGTTTTGAGCGAGGAGTAGTTTCGTAATTTCTGGCTGAGACCTTCGATAAATTCTACAAGAACTGTTGCTGGACCTAATACGAAGCCAATATCACGAAACTCCTCTTTAGTTAACTTGAGAAAGGCAAGACCAGAAATTTTCTCTTTACGAAGAATTTTAATATCATCTTTATCGAGTTTTAAGTTTTTCCTTCCCAAATATTCAATAAGCTCCTCTGTATTAAAATCCTTAACCACGTTTGACATTGTTCGAGAAGAAATTTCTTCTGTTATTGAGGCGGGTAAAGAAGCTTGTGAAGACATGGTTTTTATATATGTGAGTTTGTGCTTGCGAAAAAATATGTACTTGACTGCAGTTACAAGTAAAGCTGGTTTATAGATAAAAAAGTATTTTGGTTTTGGCGCTCGGGTAGAAATGATAGATTTTTTTGTATTGATTCATAATGCATTTGCTCAATATATATGCAATTAAGATGTAGTACAGGATTGTCAGGCGATTATATTACATCATTACACGTAACATTTTTCAAGATTTACGACAAGAATGTAATATATGCTTTATTTACGAAATAAAAAAAATATTGCCGGAGCAACTAATACATAAAAAATTGCAAATATGCGAAGCGCCTTAACGGCTATCGTTATTACATGATATAGAAATTATTATTCGGGGGAAAGGGGAGGGTAGACAAAAATATGAATCATATCTTCATCCGGATTCTCAG